TAAACCCCCACTTCCTCGCGTTCGCGACCTGAACTACGCGTTCGCGCAGAAGGATTTTCCTTCAGTAAAAATTAATGCATCGCGTTCGCGTGGGTTCTCCCGCGAACGCGTAGAAGAAAGCATCAGTATACCAGATCAGTTGTTTCTGCAATTTTTCTTAAGTCCAAAACTTCCCGAAACACATCCGAAACACTCCCGAGCCCTCGGGGCTCCTAACCAAACACACGTACTAACTCAACAACATCATACGAACTTATCCGTGCGATCAAATCGCCAAAATAACCTCAATAACAACGAATTAAACCTCAAAATCAAAGAATTTTTCTCAAACTTCATAAAACATCAACTTTAGCAATTTAGGTCCGAATCACGTCAAACGTCATCCGTTTTCACCAAATTTTACAGAAATGTCTTAAATCATATATAAGACTTGTACCGGGCGTCGGAACCAAAATACGGGCACGATACCACCATGTTCTAATCAAATTTCATTTCAAATTTCCTTAAACAATTTCAGAAAACAATTTCCTTTAAAAATTCATTTCTCGGGCTTGGGACCTCGGAATTCGATTCCGGGCATACGCCCAAGTCCCATATTTTTCTACGGACCCTCCAGGACCGTCAAATCACGGGTCCGGGTCCCTTTACCAAAAATGTTGACCGAAGTCAACTTAAATGCATTTTAAGTCAAAATTTCAGTATTTCACAGATTTTTCACATAACAGCTTCCCGGCTACACGCCCCGACTGCGCACGCAAATCCAGGTGAAGATAAAAGAGGATTTTTAAGGCCTCGGAACACAGAATTCAATTTAAAAGCAAGTGATGACCTTTTGGGTCATCACATTCTCTACCTCTAAAATAATTGTTCATCCTCGAACGGACAGAAGAAGGAAGTACCTGAGTCGGGGAATAGATGGGGATAACGGCTTCACATATCGGACTCGGACTCCCAGGTTGAGGCCTCAGGAGGCTGACCTCTCCACTGAACACGAACAGAAGGAAAACTCTTCGATCTCAACTGATGAACCTGCCGGCCTAGAATAGCTACCGGCTCCTCCTTATAAGACAAGTCCTTGTCCGGCTGGACAATGCTGTAATCTAACACGTGGGATGGATCGCTGTGATACCTCTGAAGCATGGACATATAAAACACTCGATGCACGGCTGATAAGCTCGGTGGCAATGCAAGCCTATAAGCCACCTCTCCCACTCGATCAAGAATCTCAAACGGACCAATGTACCTAGGGCTAAGCTTGTCCTTCTTCCCAAATCTCATCACGCCCTTCATAGGCGACACTCGAAGCAATACCCGCTCACCGACCATGAAAACAAAATCTCGAACCTTGCGGTCGGCATAACTCTTTTGCCTGGACTGAGCCGAACGAAGCCTATCCTGAATGATCCTGACCTTGTCCAAAGCATCCTGAACCAGATCCGTACCCAACAACTGAGCCTCCCCCGGCTCAAACCATCCAACCGGAGACCGACACTGCTGACCATATAAGGCCTCATAAGGAGCCATCTGAATACTCGACTGGTAGCTATTGTTGTAGGTGAACTCCGCTAAAGGAAAAAAACTGATCCCACGAGCCTCCAAAGTCAATAACACAAGCTCGGAGCATATCCTCCAAAATCTGAATAGTCCGCTCGGACTGCCCATCCGTCTGGGGATAAAATGATGTGCTCAACTCAACCCGTGTGCCCAATTCTCGCTGAACTGCTCTCCAGAAGTGCGAGGTAAACTGCGTACCTCGGTCCGAAATGATAGACACGGGAACACCATGAAAGCGAACAATCTCCCGGATATAGATCTCAGCTAGCCTCTCAGAAGAATAGGCGACTGCCACAGGAATGAAATGTGCTGACTTGGTCAGCCTATCAACAATGACCCATACTGCGTCGAACTTCTTCCGAGTCTGTGGGAGTCCAACAACAAAATCCATAGTGATCCGCTCCCACTTCCACTCGAAAGCTCAATCCTCTAAAATAAACCACCGGGCCTCTAATGCTCGTACTTAACCTGCTGACATTTCAAACACCGAGCCACGTATGCAACGATATCCTTCTTCATTCTCTGCCACCAATAATGTTGCTGCAAATCCTGATACATCTTCGCGGCACCCGGATGAATAGAGTATTGGGAGCTATGAGCCTCCTCTAAAATCAACTCTCGAAGACCATCCACATTAGGCACACAAACCCGGCCCTGCAATCTCAAAACTCCATCATCACCTAAGGTAACCTGCTTGGCACCTCCGCGCTGCATCGTGTCTCTAAGGACACACAAATGGGGGGTCATCATACTGCCGATCTCGGATACGCTCCAATAATGAAGAACGAGCGACTGAGAAAGCTAACACACGGCTGGGCTCAAAAACATCCAACCTCACGAACTGATTGGCCAAAGACTGAACATCCAAGGTAAGCGGCCTCTCACCGACCGGAATATAAGCAAGACTGCCCATACTGGCTGACTTTCTACTCAAAGCGTCGGCCACCAAATTGGCCTTTCCCGGATGATATAAGACGGTGATATCATAGTCCTTCAACAACTCCAACCACCTCTTCTGCCTCAAATTCAACTCCTTTTGCTTGAACAAATACTGAACTCTTGTGATCCGTGAAAACCTCACATGCCACACCATACAGATAATGCCTCCGAATCTTCAATGCGTGGACAATGGCTGCCAACTCTAAATCATGAACCAGGTAGTTCTTCTCATGAATCTTCAACTGCCGCGAAACATAGGCAAGACCTTGCCATCCTGCATCAATAGTGCACCAAGTCCAATACGAGAAACATCACAATAAACTGTATAAGGCCTTGAACCTGTGGGCAGAACCAACACCGGTGCTGTAGTCAGAGCTGTCTTGAGCTTCTGAAAGCCCGCCTCACACTCATCCGGCCATTTGAACTGGGCACTCTTCTGGGTCAACCTGTTCATCGGGGCTACGATAAAAGCAAGTGATGACCTTTTGGGTCATCACAGGTAAATACTTAAAGTGCTTAAAAGCCAAGTGCGTGTAAGTTAAAAACAGTCATAAGTCATAAGTTGGCCACCCTCAATTTATGGCTTTTTAGCGTATAAGCACTTTTAATATGACCAAGGCTTTTACTAGTTTATTCTTAATAATATTTTTTGATTCACAAATATTTTTTTCAAAATAAATTTTCTAACTTTCTTTTCAGTTCATATTCGTTGTTCATCTTTTTCTTTATAAAAGGAACTTTTTAATTTATAATATTTTGTAAAGTTTTTAAGGATATTTTAGTCATTTTAATAAAAGAATAACTTATCAATATTTTTCTACTAAACAATCAGTTTTAGCATGTCTATCCAAATACATAAATACTTATTTAAAAAATTAGTTTCAGCACTTAAAACTGTTTTTCAGCACTTCAAGCTTATTAGCTATTTACGATCAGTTAATCAAAACGGGCTCTATTTTGAGCCTTTTCTCCTGGTTTTTGTGCCTCTTTCACAAGAAGGTCTCAAATTTACAGCACAATAGTACAACAAAATTGACAAGAGACATGTTTTTAACCGAATCTATGAAATACAGCAGATCCAGAGACAAATTGGAACTAAAGTTAGAAATTTATGCCCTGGGGAAAAAATTAGAGGAGCGGGAACTTGCTCCGGTTTTCTTGGGTAGCGTGTTAACTTTTTGACTCGTGTCTATTTAAAAAATGAAAGGACATAACTCTGACAAACACGTCATAAATGTGACGTGGCTTCTTTTTCAGGTTTCAAGAAGTCAAGTTTGGCTGCCTTGAACTTGAATCATAGTTCACATTTCAGTTTCTTTTCTTCTTTATTTGGGAGATGTGATCCTATTAAGGGTGTTTGGCTTAGCTTATAAGCTGGTCAAACTAGCTTATAAGTACTTTTCCGTTTATCTACGCATTTGGTAAAGTTAAAAGTACTTATAAACCAAGCGCTTATAAGTCAAAATTAAGCCAAAAGCCATAAGCTGGTCACCCTCAACTTATGGATTTTTAGCTTATAAGCACTTTAAGTTTGACCAAGATTTTTACTATTTTATACCTAAATTATTCATTTTTAGACCAAAACTCCTACATTAATGCTCACGCCTCAACGTATTTTTTCAACCTAATCCCCCCCCCCCCCCCCCCCTACNNCCCCCCCCCTTTCCCTTCAAATCTACAATTCTCATTGACTATTTAAGGTAAGCAAATTCTCTGTTCCTTTGCATATTTATATTTATGTGATTGTGTATAATTTTTGAATTGTACTGTAATAAACGAGGACATATCAAATTTTTGGTGTATTGCGTTCTCAGTGTTGTGGTGATGAAGACAGTGTTTGTTTCTCTTCAATTATTTTGTCCTATTTAGGTTTATTTTTTTACTGAGAAACTTTTGTCAATTTATTAATTATTACTATAACTTATGATTATATGCTTATCATAAAATAAATTATATTTATCATAAAAATTATCTTATCAAATCACAATTGTATTTAAAATAAAATGACAAATAGAATATTTTGTATATGAATCGATCTGGAATCTAAAATTTTGAAGAAATTACGCCCTTATAAGTGTAAACAGCTCTAAGGTTATTTAAGTCATTTTAACAGAAAAAGAACTTATCAGCACTTTCTTATAAAATAACTTATTATCAATTTCAGCACTTGTATCCAAACACGTAACCGCTTATTTATTAAATCAGTTTCAGCACTTAAAAGTGCTTTTCAGCACCTAATGCTTACCAGCTACTTCAAATCAGCTAATCCAAACGGGCTCTATATCTCACATTATCTTTTTAACAGCAAACTGCAGTGTTGATTTTGATTTCTTACTGGCTTTGTTGAGTCAATCTGCAAAGCTGTTCAACCGTTTCTTTCCGGCTAGATATAGGTAAGAATTCGAGGCTTTAATTCTTGCTTTTCCTGCTATTTAAATTGGTCTAGAAAACCAATAAAAGAGGAGTAAAAATTAAGTAGTTTTAAGTCGTGCAGTTGGTGAGAGAGAATGGCTTATCTTGCTGTGATTTCTCTCATACAAACTCTGAAACAACTAGTGCAGCGAAGGCCACATTGGATAAGTGATGAAATAAGAAAAATGGTGGACTCTCTCCTTGATAGTCTTGAATATTTTCTAGACTTTCTTGAGAGCACTAGCAAGATAAGCCAACATTGTGGAAAGGTTCAAGTGTTGGAGAAAGATATAAGAAATGCAGTTAATGAAGTAAAACATGCGATTGAACTAAGTATATATGAAATTATTAGTCAACTGCATCGAACGATTGCAAGCAAGGCATTATGCCAAGCCTTGTCTCCACTTGTAGACAAGATTGATACTGTAAAGAGGGAGGTGATAGAAAGTAGTTCCAATAGAGTCCATGTTTATGGTGATCCAACGAATGGTAATCTGCAACTAGGAAATTCCTTGCTTGGTCATTCGTCATCTAGACGTGTTGCAAAACTGAATCTAGAAACTGCTGTCGTGGGTCTCGAAGACGACTTGATGAAAATCAAGAGAAGATTAACTAGGCCCCCGTCTACCAGAGAAATTATCCCCATTCTGGGAATGGGGGGGATCGGCAAAACAACTCTAGCTAAAATAGCATATGACGATCCTGAAATCATAAATCGCTTTGATATTCGTGTTTGGTTATAAATAGTATCTCAAGAATATTGGATTAGAGATTTGCTATTAGGAGTTCTTTCTTGTATCTCAAATGAGATCAAAGAAGAGACTGATGATCAATTGATGGATATGATATACAAAAAGTTAAAGGGTCTGAGGTATCTTGTTGTAATGGATGATATTTGGAGTGGTGACATTTGGGATCTTATGACAAGAACTTTTCCAGACGACAACAATGGGAGTCGAATTATTTTGACTAGTAGGCTCAATGAGGTGGCTATGCATGCTGGCCCTAATAGCACTCCTCATGAGATGAGACTCTTTAATTCAGATGAAAGTTGGAAGTTACTTCACGACAAGGTGTTTGGGGTAGAACATGAGATTTGTCCTCCTGAACTAAAGGACATCGGGAAGCAAGTAGCACAAAAATGCCAAGGACTACCTTTAGCTCTTCTAATTGTTGCAGGACATCTCTCTAAAATTGCTAGGACACCAGAAAGTTGGGGAGATGTTGCCAAAAGTGTAAGTAAAGTTGTTGCTAATGAATCAGATAAATGTCTAAGAGTGCTTGCTATGATTTACAACTACTTACCTAATCGTCTTAAACCATGTTTCCTTTACATGGGTGTATTTCCAGAAGATAAGGAGGTTAACATTGACATGTTGATCAACTTATGGGTAACTGAGGGTTTTCTAAGGGAAGAGAGGTTCAAAAGCTTGGAACAAGTTGGAAGAGATTGTTTGGAGGATCTTCTTAGCAGGAATCTGATAATGGTTAGGAAGAAAAGGTGGAATAGTGAGGTGAGAACATGTGGTGTCCATGATCTGGTTCGCGACTTGATTTTAAGAGTAGCCGAGGAAAAGAAGTTCCTACAGGTTGTTAGAGTTAAAGAAGCCACAAATTCTTCAGCAAAGAAGCTTCGTGTTTGTCGCTACAGTTTCCATTCAGGCAATCAAGGTGATTTCTGGGAGTCACCATCCAGTCTCACCCGAACTGTGTACTTCTTCCATGGCCTACAAAGCCCTTCTGAACAAGTTCCTCTTTTGGCATGCTTCAAACTGCTGAGGGTTTTGGCAATCCTTGATTTTATATTTCAGAAATTTCCACTTGAGATAACAAATTTAGTACATCTTAGATACCTTCAATTCGACTGTTGTGATGATCTTCACTGGTTAGTGTCGGAGCTTTATAATCTGCAGACCTTGATTTTTGGCTACCGTGGTAATAAATCTCCAACTATACCTGCAGCCATCTGGGAGATGAAAAATTTAAGGCATCTTCACTTGAGTAACTTCTTTTCCTTCCATATTCCATCAAGTAAGGTACAGTATGGTTTCGAGCTACAAAATCTGGAGGAACTTTCCTGTCTATGGCTTTCCAGTTCTACTAGTGAATTGGTTTCTGCTATTCCAAATCTCAAGAGGCTGAAAGTTGGTGGAAATTGGAGAGAATGCGAGAGAGAAAAGATTTCCCAGCACCTAGGTAACATTTCCTGTTTAGATAAGCTTGAAATATTGAAGATCATCTGCTATGGAATAAACCAACCCCTATTCCCAACCAAGTATTCTTTGCCTACATCTCTGAAGAGGTTGACTTTGAAAAGGACATATTTACCATGGGAAGACATGGCAAATATTGTGATGTTGCCAAACCTCCAAGTGCTTAAAACCAAGAAACATGGTTTCCATGGTGGAGCTTGGAGATTAAATGATGAGGAGCAATTCAATCAACTTAGTTTCCTCCTAATCGATTGGACAAATCTTGAGCGCTGGGAAGCTGGCAGTGTCAACTTCCCAAATCTGCAACGTCTAGTTCTGAAAAGATGCTTATACCTAGAGGAAATCCCCAAAGACATTGGGGAAATTTGTACTTTGGAGTCATTAGAAATGCATGATTGTAGCATTTCCGCTGTAAAATCTGTCAAAGAAATTCAAGAAGATCAAGAGAGCATGGGAAACGAGATCCTTAGTGTCCAAATCCATAATTGTCGGTAAGACTCATGCCGTCTCAGATCATTGCTCGCTAATCAGCTTTAACATCTTATGTGCCGTGCTTCTACTTTTATACTTTTACGTTGCCTCATGATATATCTACAATTTAAGTAGTGATAATAGTTTAAAATTTACAGAAAATAGTAAAAGAAGTCCCTAACCCATGATTTAATGTATTATGATGTCCTTTGTTGCACTGGACATCATTGAGTTACTTCGCTTTGTAGGGACTGAATGTTAAGTTCAAGAAATGGTGCGCGTGTGATGCCTCTGAGAAGCAATATCACCCCTTATGTTAGCTTAGAATGGGAGATTACCAGCAACTTTTTCATTAGTAAGTGAACTAAATCTCTTTTCTGTTCCTTATGACTACTAGGACCTAACCTACATGGGAAATGTTACTAATTATTGTTCTTTATCTTTGTAATTTTTTTGCTGGATGGTTCCTTGTGATGGTATATTTCATCATGTTTTCTGCAAATGATCTTTCGATGTATCTGTAATCGTAGACATATTTTTATCAGTAACCAACTTAAAGTAACAGACTATTTAAAACAAAACATGCAATTAGTTGTAAATACAAATAAACAAACATGAATTTCAAAGAGGACTCTTCTCTTTTGATGTCAATGAGGACTCTTACCAGTTTATTCAGATATGATACACATTAAACCTAAGAATAAAAAAAACTAAAAATTCAACTAGCATAGAGCAAAAATGCTAGTATACTATAAATGTAGTTGTCCATAGTGGTTGAGAGATTCCTCTCTTTTCTTTTTGTTCTTAACACAATCAAAATGAATTCATTTTAAAGTTGGCACTCTAAAATTTTAACAAAGTTGAAAATATTTTTAAAAAAGGTACAACAAATTTCTCCACTTTCTATTTAATTTAACAAAAGTTTATTCACCCTAAGATATTTAAATATTCTGTTGTTACTAAGAAGTTATTAGTTGCAGAAAAAATAGAATTCAAATGCTAAACCAATAATTAGTGAAAAAAGATGCACCAAAGTAGAAAATTTAGTATAAAACAATTAAGCATTAATAATTAAATTAAACTAACAGAGTATAAATGATTTCAATTTTTATACTAGCATGTTTAATCAAAATTTAAGAAAGAAAGAACCAAAATTCACTTTGTAGATATTTTTTTTTTTTCGAAGCTGATTAAACTGGTATTTGAATTAGTCAATATATGAACCCGGAAAATCTGAATTTATTTAAAGAGTCATGAAACATGATAACATGTAAAACTCTCTTTCATTAAGCCAAGTAATATCTTGCAACAACCTTGACATTAAGACGTACAAGCCATTAGAAAATTTTAATAATTTTTCATAAATTAGAAACTTCTGATTAGTGAATGAAAACCAAAATACAACTGCATTATTGCGATACAGACCAACTTCATTTTCATGCGGAAAGTGGGGGTGATAGCAACACCTCAATTTTTGGCCAAAAGCACTTTTGGCCAAAAAGAAGCTTGGCCAAACAGGCTATAAGTCCAAAAAGTCGAGCTTCTTTCTCATTAAACGTGTTATCGAAATCTTAAACTAAACTTTTAAGAGGCAGATTTTCCTGAGTTGAAAGCCTACAGTTTTTCCTTTCTTTTCTCGTTTTCTTTCCTCCTTATAAACAACATCAGCTCATACAAATAAATAAATATATAAAAAGAAGAAGAAGGAAAGAAAAGAGCAATAGCACCCTCTTGATAGAACAAGAAAATGATTATTGTTCATTTCTTTTCAAAACCTCCTATATACTGGGATCTTTTCCATTTGTAATGGAGCTTCGACAGCAGCTAGGTCTAGAGAGAAGTGAGCATTACGTTCATGCATAACTTCTATACCAAGGTTAACACGGTTAATGATATAGCCCAAGTATCCTTATCATTTCCTCTATATTGACATAATCAATACTACGTCGGAGTGATACAAGAGATCTAAAGAAGAAGAGACGCTAGACTATATTAGTGACAAGCAAACCTCACCTGATAATTAAGAATAGCAAGATAAAATATCTTCATCCTCAACTTTCTACACAAGATTCGCATTTGGAACATAACCTTCTCTTGCCATCTCCTCAAACAAGTAGTCAAGTGCACGGCAAATCTCATCTGCAATTGGATGTGAACGGAATTCAACAAGTTGAGAATCCATCTAAATCCAGCTACAACAAGGAATTTTAGTAATACCTTTCTGTCTCATTAATTCTCTCATGCTTGCTGAATCATCCCACCTTCTGAGATTTGCATATATTTTTGCGAATTTGATGGTTCCATCTCTAGAAGTAGCTGCATCACTCGTTCACCAACATCAATATTTTTCAGCTTTTGACAGGCACCAAGCAATGCTCCAAGTAAAATCTCATCTGGTTTTTGAGGCAGCTTCTCAATAAACTCCCATGCTTCATATACGCGATCAGCACGAGACAAAAGTTCAACCATGCACGAGAAATGCTCAACTTTTGGAACCAATCCAAATGATGAACTCATTATATCAGACAAGTGCCTGCCTTCATCAACCACCTGCATGTACACATGCGGAGAGAGCAATCATTTCCTTCCAAAAGACTTCTTTTTTCCTAGGCATGCTTTCAAAAATTTGATATGCATCATCCAGATTGCCGCATTTTGCATACATATGAATTAAGGGCGCAGTAGCTACATATATGTGATGCTTATACCCCTGCTTGATGCATGGTCATCAATGCCTTTTCCAAAATCCAGAGCTCCAATTGAAGCCATCACACGCACACCATTTTCTCTTAACAAGCATGACCAACTTTCTGTTAGGATTTGCCCTAAATTTCTAATCTATTAGGACTCTCTTTCTTGAAGAAAAAGACTCCTAAAAGGATTAAATCTCCTTAATATGTCTTATCCTTTTCTTGGAAGACAAGAATTGCACATCTATAAATTAAGGATCTCTGCTTCTCACAAGAGAACAAAAATATCCACAATGTAGTCATTAAAGAGTTTTGTTTAGGGGGAGATTTTTCTCTCGATAGTTTTTCTTCTTTTATATTATTTTTATCATATGTAGATCAATTGACCAAACCATTATAAACTTTATGCTTAGTTTAGTATATTTTTCTTTTGTCGTCTGATTTATCGTCCACCAAGCTTTGTATTGTTAGTTTCCGCATGCACCATGTTATTTCGATCCCAACACTTTCTTGAACTTAAACATCAATACCTACAACGATAAGAAACTCATAAGACAATAAAATATATTAAGTGTGTTGTAGACTTCCTTGACTTGTCATTTAATATTTTAAACTATCATCGCTGCTTACACTGTAATCATATAACATGAGGTAAGAAATGGAGCACATGAAATAAAGACGAGAAAAAATTTAAGCTGATTAGCGAGCAATAATTTGAGACAGTTTAAATCTTACACACAATTATTGATGACGACACTAAGGCAATCATTCCCCATGCTCTCTTGCTCTTCTCGAAGTTCTTCCACTGATTTTGCAGCGGACATACTACAGTCATACAATTCTATTGACTCCAAGCTATAAATTTCTCCAAAGTCTTTAGGGATTTCTTCCAGGCCTATGCAGCTTCTCAGAACTAGGCGTTGTAGTTTTGGGAAGTTAACACTCCCAGCTTCCCAGTGCCTCAGAAACGTCACACTGATTAGGAGGAACTTAAGTTGACTGAAAATGTCTTCATCATTTAATCTCCACTCATCACTATCAAATACATCTTTCATTTTAAGCACTTCGAGGTTTGGCAACATTGTAATATTTTTCATGTCTTCCGGTGGAAAAAGAGTATTTGTTAAAGTCAACCTCTTCAGAGATGTAGGTAAAGAAAACTTCCTTGGTAGCTGGCGACGGTAGGCTCCTTGGTACCTGAACTTCAATATTTCAAGTTCTTTTAAACAGGAAAGACTATCTAGGTGCTGGGAAATCTTCTCTCTCTTGCATTCCCTCCAATTTCCATGAATCTTCAGCCTCTTAAGATTTGGAAATGCAGAAAACATTTCATAAGTACAGCTGGACAAATTTAGACAGGAAAGTCCCTCCAAATTTTCTAGTTTGAAACCAGACTTAGGGATTGCAAGAGAAAAGACTCTCTTGACGACTTGAAGATGCCTTAAATGTTTCATTTCCCAAATTGTCTCAGGTATAGTTGGAGGTTTAAGAGCTTCGTGACGAAAAATGAAGGTCTGCAGATTATATAGCTTTGACACTAACTGGTGAATATCATCACTACACCAGAACTGAAGGTATCTGAGATGTACTAATTTTGTTATCTCAAGAGGGAAATCTTGAAACTCATAATAAGGGATTACCAACACTCTTAGCAGTTTGAAGTGCTCAAAATGAAAAAATCCACCAAATCCACGTAAGTGCACTGTTCGGATGAGACTGGACTCCTCCCAGCAATCAGCCTCATAAATGTACGGATGGAAGCTGTAGCGACGAACATGAAGCTTCTTTGCCGAAGGATTCGTGCCTTCGTGAGTTCTAGTAACCTGCAAGAACATCTCTTTCTCAGCTTCTCTTTAAATCAAGTCGCGAACCAGATCATGGACACCACATGTTCTCGCCTCGCCATTAAATCTCCTCTTTCTAACCATTATCAGATGCCTACTAACAAGATCCTCCCAACAATCTCTTCCCATTTGTTCCATGCTTTTGAGCTTTTCTTTCCCTAGAAAACCCTCAGAAACCCATAAGTTGATCAATGTCACAATGTTAACCTCGCTATCTTCTGGAAAGACTCCCATGTAAAGGAAACATGGTTTAAGGTGATTAGGTAAGTAATTGTAACTCATAGCAAGCACTCCTAGACATATATCTGATTCATGAGCAACAACTTTACTTACACTTTTGGCAACATCTCCCCAACTTTCTGGTGTTCTAGCAATTTTAGAGAGATGTCCTGCAACAATTAGAAGAGCTAAAGGTAGTCCTTGGCATTTTTGTGCTACTTGCTTCCCGATGTCCTTTAGTTCAGGAGGACAAATCTCATGTTCTACCCCAAACACCTTGTCATGAAGTAACTTCCAACTTTCATATGAACTCAAGAGTCTCATCTCATGAGGAGGGCTGTCAGGGTCAGCATGAATAGCCAGATCTTTAAGCCTACTAGTCAAAATAATTCGACTACCATTGTTGTCGTCTGGAAAAGTTCTTGTCATAAGATCCCAGACATCATTACTCCAAATATCATCCATGACAACTAGATACCGCTTACGCTTTAAGTTTTTGTATATCATATCCATCAGTTGATCATCAGTCTCTTTGATCTCATCTGAAGTACAAGAAAGAACACCTAACAACAAATCTCTAATTCGGTATTCTTGAGAAACTGTCACCCAAACATGGACATCAAACCGGTGCCTGATTTCAGAATCATCGTATGCCTTTCTAGCAAGTGTCGTTTTGCCTATCCCCCCCATTCCCAGAATCGGGACAATTTCTCGAGTAGATGGGGGCCCTGTTAATCTTCTCTTGATTTTCATCAAGTCATCCTCAAGGCCTACAACAGTAGTTTCTAGATTCAGATTTGCAACTTGTCTAGATGAATGACCCAGCTGCAGATTCTCATTCATTGGATCACCATAGCCATGGATTTTATCTGTACTGAAACTACATCCCATCACCTCCCTTTTCACAAGGTCAATCTTTTCTACAAGTGGAGGTAAGATTTCACATAATCCCTTGCTTGCCATCGTTCGATCCAGTTGATTAGTTTCATATATCTTTAGTTCAATCACATCCTCTGCTTCATTTACTACAGTTCTAATATCTCTCTCCAGCTCTTTAATCTGTCCATGATCTTGACTTCTCTTGCTCGTGTTCTCGAGAAAGTTTTGGAAATATTCAAGACTAACAAGGAGAGAGTCCACCATTATTCTTGTTTCAGCACTTATCCAATGAGGCTGCAGCTGCCCAAGTTGCTCTAGAGTTCGTAAGAGAGAAATCACAGCAACATAAGCCATATCTCTCACCAACTGTAGGACAAAAAACTGCTTCGCAAAATTTTTGCTCCTCTCTTTATTAGTTTCCCAGATAAAACAAAACATCAATTTAGATAGCAGGAAAAAACAAGAGGTAATAAAGAGTTCTAAGCCTCATCAAATCTTACCTATATTTAGCAGCTGGAAAGAAGCTATTGAATGTTTCTGCAGATTGATTCAAACAAAACCTGCAAAAAGCCAAAATCAACGCTGCAGTTTTTTGTTAAAAAGAGAATTTGAGAAATTATAATACCAAAATTTACAAATAGCAAAGAAATGAAACTGAAAGGTAAACTATGATTAAAGTAGCCAAACTGTTTCTTGAAATCTGAAAAAGAATCTGCATGACCCTTGGAATGTGACTTGTTGAAACTCACGGACCACAATCTCCACATATATCATTTCTTTCATGTCTGGAAAAATGAATTTAGTGGTGTTTGGGTCCTACATATTATGCTCATGTGGATACATGTCAATTATTGCACCCTTACTTATACACTCTTGAACCTGTTCATCTTTTTTTGACTAGTTGTGATACTCCAAGATTTTTATCACCTTTTCTTCCACTGAATAAATATACAAATGATTTTTCCATCGCATTTTATAGGGGAAATTGCACTTTACACTTCCAAACTGCTGATTAAAAGATAATAGATTCACTTCTATTTTGCATTGGCATATACAAGAAAATTCTTAACTGCTCACAATTTGTTACATAAGAGAAAAATTCCCTTGACAATAGAAATGAAATAACTAAAAGGTCTTCCACAGTATGAGATACAGCTTTTAGCGCAAAAAGAAAGGAGACGAAGAGCGACATCCAGTAGAGATGGCAAGCGGGCAAGGCAGAGGGGAGGGGGTGAAGCCTTAGCACGCAAACATTCAATTTCTCTAGTCTGTTTGCTGAACTTTTCACTCTTTAACTAAAACCAAAAATATCGGCAAAATCAACCAGTCAAGGAGCAGCAAAATTGACAATCCACCTGCTGGATGTTCTTGGATGATGTCCACAATGGTTGTTGGATTTGAGAGAAGAATCTTGATATGCACTTAGCATGGCTGAGATTGCAGTAGCTTTTAATAACCAGCAAGAAGATGAGAAAGTCTTGTACAGTTATGCATGAGCTTAAGAGAACGCCAGTATTAGGTCCGCAGTTTGCTAGTGACATGCCTCGACGAGCAAGAAAGGAAAGTTTCTTGCACAAAAGCAGATTGTAGCTGATGTAAGGTTACACTGAAGCATACACAGTATAATCTGGGGAATATTGGTTAAGTGTTTTACTTCTTGCTTGATCTCGGTGAAATCGCTATGTGAAGTTACTATGTCTGGTTCTGAAGCAGGCACAAAAGGACCTACATCCACAGGTCAATGAAAAATACAGAGAGTTAAGAGTCATGAGAACTAGGTAACATGTAACGGAACATATACTTGAGGTAATGAGCAGATATAAATAAGACCATATATGAACCTGGCAAGTCAGGATTCACATGGAAGTGTGCCGATTACCAAAATCCAACAAATTGACCCTGCATTCAGCTCAAGCCCACACGATCATAAAGGTATCAAGTGCCCTATCCAACAATCTGAGCAGCGAGTTACATACTGGAGGCGAATTGTAAAATATCTTAAATTAGTTGAATTTCAAGTAGCAAGTAATTCTATACTACTTGAAGAAGATATAAGCTCTTTCACCATCTCAAGAGATATAAATCAAGTGACCCAATCTTGAAATAGAACCTGGGCAGCATTGCTACAACTTAAATAGAAAAGAACTCTCTTTCATCAAGCCAGTTAATCTCTTGCAACAACCTTTATATTAAAACGCACAAGCCATTATAAATTTTCAATAATTTCTCATAAATTAGAAATTTTCAGCTATAGTTTGAAAAATATTCAAAGTTCATTATTATTCAAGCAGCTATCCAAGAAAGTAGAGAAAATGACTAGCTTTTATAATTACTGAATGAAACCCAACTAACATTGCATTATAACGCGATACAGACCGACTTCATTTTCATGTGAAAAGTGGCAGTCAGAGCAACGGATTAAAGAGGTATAGCTTTTTATCTTGAACCATGTTGTCAAAATCTTAAACTGAACATTTAAGACCCAGATTTTCCTTAGTTCAATGCCTACCTTTTCTCTTTTCTTTTCTCGTATTTTTCTCTCTTTATAAATATGTTGAGGTTCCACCTGATAAGCATAACAAGAATTAAAATATCTTCATCCTCACCTTTCTATACAAGATTCACATTTGGAACATAACCTTCAATAGCCATCTCCTCATACAACAAGTCAAGTGCCTGGTGAATCTCCTCTGCAAATGGATGGGATGAATTGCCAGCACGAAATTCAACGAGCTGTGAATCCATCTCAATCCAGCTACAGCCTGGAATTTTGGTAACACCTTTCTGTCTCATTAGTTGTCTCATCCTTGCTGAATCATCCCACCTTCTGAGATTTGCATATATTTTTGATGATATTATATAATTACCCGAATTTGATGGTTCCATCTCTAGAAGTAGCTGCATCACTCGTTCACCAACATCAATATTTTTGAGCTTTTGACAGGCACCAAGCAATGCTCCAAGTAAAATCTCATCTGGTTTTTGAGGCATCTTCTCAATAAACTCCCATGCTTCATATACACGACCAGCACGAGACAAAAGGTCAACCATGCAAGAGAAATGCTCAACTTTTGGAACCAATCCAAATGATGAACTCATTATATCAAACAAGTGCCTGCCTTCATCAACCAATCCTGCATGTACACATGCGGAGAGTACTCCAACAAATGTGACGTCATCAGGGCGGGAATCACTACTCTCGAGTGACATGCGCTCAAACAGGGATAATGCCTCTTGTGCTCTTCCGTGAAAGGCAAGAGCAGAGATCATTGCATTCCAAGAGACCTCATTTTTTCTAGGCATGCTTTCAAAAATTTGATATGCATCATCCAAATTGCCGCATTTTGCATACATATCAATTAAGGCCGTAGCTACATATATGTCATGCTTTATACCTCTTCTTGACGCATAGTCATCAATGCATTTTCCAACATCCAAGGCTCCAATTGAAGCACATGCAGAAAGAACACTTACCAGCGTGATATTATTTAGGTTAACTCCTGCCTCCTTCATGGCATCGAACAAAGAGATTGTTTCATCGGACAACCCATTTTGTGCGTACCTGTAATAAATATTAATCAGATCCATGGAGAGTAGTAACAAGGAGGAACAATGAAATAGTTGTACTAGTAAAAAAAAGCAAAAAAGAAAGAAAACTAAACAATAAGACATAAATCAGAGTAGGCTTCATTATTTTTATGCTATAAAACAAAGATATTCTTTTGACTGTCTAAGTGCACATCTATTTGAAAAAACTATAACGATCAACCAATAAAATTGATATCCGCAAGAAATAGCATGGATTTTCACATAGAATTTGTTGAAAGGAGTACCGCAAGCCAGATTCAGATTTGGTGTACCCCTTGCCCAAATAGTAAAACAATACAAACTGCAACGACAACTATGCCTCAGTCTCAAGCAAGTTGGGATTTGATATATGAATCCTCATGTTTCTCCATTTAAATTCATCTCAGGCCAACACTAGACAAAATAAAAAATATAAAAACAAAAGTACTAGAATTTCTCTATATTTTGTATTGGCATAAAAACTCATAGAAAGCATAAGACCTAAAGTAAATGTACTAACATGACTAAAACATATTCTCAACTAATTGATAGCACCTATATAGAGCAAGCGTTTTTCATTGTCAACCAAATAGTAAAATGATGATCTCAATTAAACAAAACCTGACCTGTAATGCCAATACTCAAGGAATTAACCCAACAAAATAAAAATAAAGAATACAAATAGCCAGGATATAGAAAAGTTAAAATAAGTGGTTACCCTGAAATCATGGCATTCCAAGTAATCACATCTTTCTTCTTCATGCCATCAAAGATTCTTCTAGCAGAAACCAAATCTCCACACTTCCCATACATGTTAATCAAAGCAGAACCCATAAAAGAATTCAGCTCCATTCTCTTCTCCACAACATACTCCTCTACCCGATTTCCCAAATTCACATCCCCCAAGTCACCACATGCCCCAAGAACACTCACAAGTGTCCTCTCATCAGGTTCAAACCCCTCATTCCTCATCTCCATAAACAATCCCACTGCCTCTCTCGAGCAACCCGTTTGAGCATACCCTGAAATAATTGAATTCCACGAAACCAAATCTCTTTGCGACATTTCATCAAACACTTCCCTTGCAAAACCCATCTTCCCAATTCTTGAATACATAGTAATCAAGGAGTGACCAACGTGAAAATCCACAAACAACCCATTTTTCACCACCTCACAATGAGCTAATCTACCAAGTTCCACAGCTAAAAGATTCCCACAACACATAAACACAAAAGGATAAGTGAAATTATCAGTTTTCAAGCCTAAAAACTTCATTTTGTAGTAAAGTTCCAAAGAAAGATCAAATTTTTGCCATGTTGTAGTTAGCCCTCTTATCATTATATTAAAAGCATACTCATTGGGGCTATGAATATGTGAAAAAAGAAGAGTAGCATAGTTGAAATCTTTGAGGTCTATAATTTTTGAGAGCAAATAGTTGGCTTTTTCTATAGAGTAAATTAACATTTGGGTATGAATTTGTTGGACTTGTTTGATTGTTATGCATTTTTTTAAGAGACGTAAGAGTTGTTGAGTAATGGGAGAATAATCTTGTTGATTATTGAAAGCCCGTTTTGTTGCTTCAATTGAGAAAAAGCGGGAGATTTTACATGGTTGGAGTTTAGCTCTAAGAAACATTGTTTGTTGAGGGGGACTCTGTGAGAAGCAGATCAAAAGATGTACATTAATTTGGATCCATATTTGGGCTTTCCAATTTACTGTGGCAATTGGGTTATAGCCCGTTTGGCCAAGCTGCAAAAATCAGCTTATTTTGAAAAGTTTTTTTTTTTAAACGTACTTTTGTTGAGAAGCAGTTTGTGTTTGGCTAATTAGTTTAAAAAGTACTTCTGAGCAGCAATTAGTGTTTGGCCAAGCTATAAAAAATTACTTCTAAGTGTATTTTTCTCAAAAGTGCTTCTCAAAAAAGTAGAGAAGCTACTTTTTTCTGCTCCCTTCCAAAAGCTTGGCCAAACACCTTAATTTTTGGCCAAAAGTATTTTTGGCCAAAAAAAAAGCACTTTTGGCCAAAAAGAAGCTTGGCCAAACAGGCTAATTACTTTGTCGAGATTTGGCCAAGTGCACACATAGCTGATTTTAAGGGCACATGTTCATATATATATATATATATATATATATATTGAGGCCACTGTTGAAGCTATACAGGCATTGCACAAACTACATAGTGTATTGAATCTAAAGTTCTATCTTTCAAATGCAACTTCAGAAATTAGAATCTGAAGTTGTTCAATATCTTCAACGCAAGTATAGATATCAAATTTGAAGTTGTTCTACCTTTCAAATGCAACTTCAGAAATTCGAATCTTAAGTAGTTCAATTTATTAAATACAACTTCAAATTTTGAAACATAAACTTGTTCTTCGAATTCCAATAATTCAATACAAGATCCAATGCCGAAATCTACTCCAAATGAGCTCAAATTTGAAACATAACTTTCAAATATCATAAAGAACAAATCCCAATCATCAAATTATCAAAACAACAACAAATTTAACAAACTCATTTTGCAACTAAGAAGAAGAAGAAGAAGAAGAAGTTCTAAGCACAAAGAAGAAAAAAATAGCAGTAAAGAGGAAGAGAAAAGTGTATGTATCTGAAATTATCCAAAAATTGAATATCATTTAATTTTTTTTTTTTTAATGGAGACAAATTCAATAAGTGGCGCATAACTGGGCGCCACATAAAAATTTTACGATTTAGACGCCCATTTAAGTCACAGCTGAAGTTCCTAAGCTTTTGCAAGTTTAGACGCTTTAAATGAACTTTTGACGAGCAAGTTTGAAGTTCAGACACGCATATGAAATTTGGCTTGTTAAAGTCTAACTTTATACAATTCGGAAGCAGGCAAACCCTCAATATTTTTGCATAAAGTTCAGGCATATATAATTAAACTTCAGGCATATATAACTTAACTTTAGGCAGTTGTACATAAAGTTCTAACATCTTATGTTTCTCAAATATTCTTCTTTATTTAGTACAATATCAAAAACACTGATAATATGCCAAATTGAGAGTAGTTTATACATTTTTTAAGTTTTTTTAAAAATACCCACTTGATTTATACTTACTCCTCATATCTAAAATTCAAGACCCACAGCTCTTCAAGCTTGCAATAATGGTGATTTTTAGATAGTGATTTAATTTACTTTATGAAATCTTGTATATGAAAGCTTCTAGAAGAAGAAAAAATAAGCTTTTCTAACAACATTCACCTGTTTTAAACTCGTCCATGTTCAAAATTCAAGACCCAAATTTATTCAAACTTATAACAATGGTAATTTTAATGTTGGAAATTCTTAACTGACTATAAATGTAAAGTTCTTAAATAAGTGATTGCGCCTTAAATGGCACTATGCAAATAGGCTGCTTGTGCAATAATTTATTTGAGATTTTTTTCTAGCTCATATTATACGCAATTTGGGCTTTAAAAGTTGTAAAAATCTTTCTTTATTTTTTAAAGATCAAATGTTCCTGTTAGAAAAGAAGATCTCTCTTCGCCTTCATTCATAAGAGGAGTGCATCAATAAAAACTACCCTTCCTTATAGATCGTTGTAGTATAAACTAACTTTTTGCTGGACGTGACAATCAGTTACAGTAGGTAATCTAACGAAAATAAAAATTCTTTTGGAGTCTAAAATAGAAAATTTAAAAAAAAATTATTTGCCCCAGTTTGGCGCTATCTGATAATCTAACCAAATATATGGTTTGAAAAAAAATCTCAACTTATGATTATTGACACCTTGTAGCCAACATTCATATTTTAATTTTAATAATCTATATATATATTAAATAAGAAAGTTTGCCTTCTCATTTAGCCAAGTGGCAAGTTATTAGAAATTCAAGTGGCAACCTATTAAAATTACACCTGGCAACTTAAGATTAAAACTTAATTTTATTAAAATGCAAGTTGTAACAGCTAGATTTTTTGGGCTATCAACTAACTGGGGAATCCCAAATGCATAGGCCTCTATTCTGTAAAATTACTATATTTAATAATAAAATATTACTAAATTATCGTATGAGTAAATTTCGGGATACCAACCTAAATGGGGAATCCCATTTATAACACAAACTGGCGCAATATCCTTTCCTCCACACGAATAACGTGTAATATTAAAGTTGATCTCCTTGATTTTCTCCACACGAATAACGCATAATATTGGGAATTTCAAAAAGCTTAAACCTAAGCCTTTTGATATGTTCCGCAATTTTGTTGGATTGGGATACAGAGGGAGAACGGGAGATATTCAAATGTGAAATTAATTTGACATTTTTAGAAATTCTGATGATTTTTCCGGTCCTTTTTCCTCATCTTTTTTGCCTCTGGATTCTGGAGAGATGTGTCGTTTAGGAGACGACGACATCTAAGACAGATATTTCGGGATAGCAACTAAATGTGGAATCCCAAATGCATAGGCCTCTATTTTATGGATCTTTTTATGGAAAATTTATTTTTCCATACAAATAAATTATTGCATTCCGTATATATCTATATATATAGTAACTCAATTTTTTTGTACTTAATTACTATTTAGGGTTTGTCTTCCGTATATATTTAATATATATATATATATATATATATATATATATATATATATATATATATACGGAATTTGACGGCATTTGACAGACAATCCTCTTATAAAATTTTCTCTAAGAAGAAATATGACGGCATTTGACTATATCAACAATATATCGGGTAACAAGATGAGTTGGAATTTGAAGGTACGAATAGTGAGATTGTGGCACGTTCCAGACCGCGACAAATCAGACAACATCGTCTCCCTTGAATTAATTATTCAAGACGAAAAGGTGCACTCTTTTTTAGTTGCATTTATTTTTTCATAAAAATTTGACTACGATCTCCATCTTCTGCTTTGTACTATGAAATTCATTAGGTTACACATGTATTTAATAAACTGCAATTTTAATTTTTATGATCTAGATGGAGATACCTCGAATACAGCTTTTTCTTATTTAATAATTAGGTGTGAATGATGCTAACTCTTAATCTGCAATTTAGTATTTTATGTGCGAGAACTTTTTTGGAGATCTTAGACAATAAAATATCTAATATTATTGTCTTATGAAAAGTATTTACCATCAAATATGTTGTATGTGTTATTTTGGAAAGGCAAGCATTCACATATTATGTTTTACCCATTGTTGCTTCATTGTTTAATATACTCTGTGACAACATTGTACAACTGAGTATTTGCTGACTCAATATTAATTATGAACTTTTTGTTTCTAGGGCGATCGTATTCATGCGACTGTTGGTCGGTCTCTTATACGTATGTTCAAACCAAAGATAAAAGAATTGGGTTTGTACTTTATGAAGAACTTTGTGGTTGGACCGAATTATACGAAACTTAAATACACGCGGCATAAATTGAAGTAAACATTTACTCATAAGACGATTGTAGAGGAATCAAATGATCATCTTTTTGGTATGAGTATTTTCGACTTAAAACCTTATGAGTATTTGATAAACAAAATTGATGTTGAAGAAAGTGAACTCTTCGGTAAGTATTCAATTCGCAGTTCTTTTATTTGAATGTCTTATCAACTTTGTTCTGATCATTTTTTTAAATTATTAAAGATGTCATTGGAGAGGTTGTAAGTTATGGTGAAGTAGAATCACATAACCAAGGTGATAAGACCAGCACTTATATGAATGTGGAACTTGAAGATCATGAGTAAGATTGCGTCTATGAATTTACCTTGTTAAATATTTTAACATGATTACTTATCGGTGTCTGATTAAGTTGTTATATATTAACATGATTACTTATCGGTGTCTGATTAAGTTATTATATAAATTACACAGGAGGAATAATATCTCGGCAATATTTTGGGGAGAATTCGTTGACCAAATCTTGCCACATTTAGAGGGATCACCCCATCAGCCGGTCATAGTTGTTATGCAGTTGATAAAAGCTCACAAATTTTAAGGTATTTCTATTGTCTTGATGACATGGGATATTTTTTTTTTTTCATGTTAATTTTTTGGTTCAGAAACTAAAGTTATATATAGGCAAATATTCTGTGCGTAATACTTGGCATGCCTCAAAGCTCTGGATTAACCCGGATCTTCCTCAAGCTGTTGATTTTAAGTCCATGTTAGTTATTTGATAAACTAAGTTTATGTGGATACTAAAAAAATAATTGTTTATTGTTAAAACTAATACAACCTTGCGTAAATACAGATTGGCAAGTGTGAATGAAGCTAACTCTTCCAGGACCAGTCAAATACCTTCTCAGCGTAGTTATTCGGTTTCTGATGAGTTAGCTACTGGAACTGTAGAAGTTAAAACTATTAGAGAATTGGTCGACTGCATGGAGGTGATTAATCTATTAAACTCCTTTAGAACAGAACTATTTTATGTTGTGTATGTATAACACTTTCACATCTAAAAATACAATTTATTTTCGTAAATGTGCACATATGTGTTTTTTAGAATCCCTGTTGCATAAGTTTATGAGCACTACACAATCTGAATATAGAAATATCAAAGATAGAAAGCCAAGATTCTTCCCTTTATTAACTTAAGAAGGAAAATATTTCAAAGTGATTAAAAGAATTTAACCTCATAAATTCAATAACTCATTTAAGATGTAAATGCTTAAATGGAAATGCTTAAGATGGTGAAAGCATCTCCTGGAACTCCACTGTTTTGGATTTTCGTCGTCAAAGATGGAAATAATAGTTACAACCAGCAAGTGACGTGCAACTCCAATTGATCAAATTTATAAAGTCTTGTGTTATTCATTTTTATTTTTATTTTTGAACTTTGATGACGTCTACTACTTGTCTTTCACTGAGCTACCACGAAAATGAGGATTTACATTATATTTTCTTGATTTGTAAATCATAATGCTGACACATACTCTCAAATTTATAATGTTATAAAGTGGACACTGAGCAGATATCTACATGTGCACCAACTGATAATTAGTAGAGATAGTAGAGGAAAGCGATGATAAAATATCACTCCTTAAAGAGTAAAAAGCTAAAGGTAGTTCAATTTTTTTTTTTTTGACATAATCTCTGGACAAACATATAAAACTGTTGTCTTTTTGGTAGGACTTTCCATTTGTAAGAGGAAACAATACCACATCATTTGTAACATGTTCATCTAGGACGGCATCAAAACAGAACTCATGCTTCTCCACATCTAGGACAATCAAATTTTCTAGATACATTGCTACAACTTTACTTCTTTTTGGGAACGACACGTTTGGATTGTTGCGACTGTAGTGAATCTGCTACTTGAAAAAGAATGGTCATATTTGGGGTGCAAGAGATGCTCGAAGAAGGTTGATAAAATTGGAAGTAAATTTCACTGCAAGAAATGTGACCGCCTTGATAGTTCTGTCACTCATAGGTTTGATAAGCTTCTCTATTAACTTAAAAAATTAAATAAAACTAAAGTTTCAATTTCTTATTTTAAACGTGTCTTTCAGGTACAAACTTCAAGTCCAAGTAATGGATCGCACTGGTTTTATATCTTTGTTGCTTTGGGATCTTGAAGCAACAAACCTCATTGGGAAGTCTGCTAATGAGTTAAATGAAAGTTCAATTGAGGTATATTTATAAATTTTAATTGTTAGTATATTTTCCCAATAAACGTAAAAAGGTAAATATGATATATTTGCAAAATTATAGCAAAAATTCTAGACATCAAAAACACCATTAAATTTATTAGAACTGACCATTTGTTATATCACTCAAAAGGAAGAGCTCTATTATTTTTTCTTTTGATACCATTCCTACCATAATGAAATTGCATGCTAACGATTTTAGGGATGGTTTCGTAGTTGTATTTTTTTTTGTCGTGTTTTAACACTTCTAACACTAATCCGGTCTTAGACTTCTGGTGCTGTTGATGATTCTTATCCAGTGGAGTTGTATGATATTCTTGACAAAAAACTCCTGTTTAAAGTGACTGTTAAGAGCTCCAACATTAAAGTTCATGCGGAAGTTTATAATGTTATTAAGATCAGCGATGACGATAACCTTATACAACAATATAGCCAATCTCCACAAGATGATACATTCACTGTATGTGATTGTTACTCAAATACTTCATAATATACCAATTTTTCTTTTGATTTTATATAAGGGATTATCAAGTTTAAATTAATTATGTTACTATTTTCTTAATAGGACCCTGATTTTGAGTGTGAACAACACACTGATGCAAACACAACTTTCAAGGTGACTAATTCAAACTTTAGTTGTATAGCTTCTTATATACAATATGGTTCTAATAATTTACTTTTCCTTTGTAGGATTCAATGGCTGATAATGAGATGACTTCTCCTGCAAAGACCCCTGCTAAAAGAAGTAGAGAAGAAGATGGGTCATCTGGAGTAGATGTCGGTGGTAAACTTGCACAATTTGCAAGTAACAAGGTTAAAAAAAGTGATCAAAAAGGAGAAAAATCTATGAATTGAAACATTTATTCCCTTTTAAATAACATTATTCGTTCAAATGCATTAGCAAGTACTTTGGTACAATTTGAAGTAGTTTTGTTGGTATTTTAATTTGGTTTCTACCATTTAGGATCATGATTTAGTATCTGAAATTAGTTCACTCTATGTGATATGAACTTTCTTTATATTAGAAGGGCAACTGCATATTTTTGAAATATTGCATTAATATCGCATGTGAACATTTATGCTATTTGTAACACGGGTATGAGTGAGTTAAAGGAGTAGTAAGGATATATTTTGAGCATGTGAAGTCCCATCGAGATGATTATGGGTGAAAATAGTTGTTTAAAAATCAAGATGGAAAGTGAGGCGCATAAGATTTGACAAAATCGACTAAGTTTGCAAAAGGTCTGTATTCCATCAGTGTTTATTGAAAATGTGTAACAAATTTGGGAAAACTCAAAACATGAAAGTTGTAGGCCTTTGAAATAGATTTCCAAAGATATATTATGGAGTCCGAACGGATCTCTGCGCAAAAAGTTATGTGTATTTTACGGAACAGTACACGCATGCGCGCCTAGTAGCGCGCCCAGTAGCGCGGCCGCGCTAATTTTGAGACAGTGTTACTGCCATTTAGCGCGGTCAGTAGCGCGGGCAAGCCTCCAGTAGCGCGGGCGCCCTAGTGGGGGTCGTTTTAAAGCTATATTTCGTCCCCCACAATCCCAAAACATAAAAACTTGCTCTAGAAAGGGGAACTCTCAAAAACCTAACTCCTTAAGGGTCCTTCCACCGTCCAAGGTAAGTTCTAATGGTGATTCTAAGTTAATTTTAATTTTTCAACATCTTATTAACATGGGTAAACCCTCCATATCATTAGATATTTGATTGGGACATCGTTGTTGAGAGAAGGAACCCTAGAACTCGAATTCAAGGAGATTGAACGTCAAAAAGGTAATATCTTCACCCTCTAATTGATTCTAGTAATGGTTTGATGATTATAAACCCTAGTGCATGAGATATGAGTTGATGGGTTTGATAGAAAAGCATGAACGATTATAGGGTTGGGGTGTTGAGTGTTGATTATTGGTTAAGAGTGTTGTTTACTTTATGGGTGATGAAAAATAATGTTGATTATAACCATTTGAGACTTTAGAATTTATCTAGGATCAAGAGAATGACTTGTTAGGTATAGAAACACCATTAATAAGGACCATGAAGCTTTATGTCACCAAGTGTTTGAGAAAATGTTTAAGTGACTAAAACATGAGAATTTATGCTAATATGGAATCCCTTTGACTTGTATTGATATAGATTGAAGTTGAAAGGTTTGGCGAAGGTTGTATTACACTCAAGAGCAGGAAGTTAAGGTATGTGAGGCTAACTCTCTATGTTTGGGAATTTTAATGATTCTCCCTACACTACGTTTCTTTTACGACGTATCAATTGCCTCAGAAATATAGTTAAGCCTAGTTCCTTGAATAGTTGTAGAACTTCTATTCCCTAGCTTCATAACTCGTTCATGACTTTCATTCTGAACGTTGTGAGCTCAGTTCGTATTCAATATAGACTTGGGTTTGATTCCCCAAAGTCTCAGTATAGCTTACTCAGCATGTCATAAACAGTTGCAGTTTCAATGTTCATAACCAGTTCAAGAATACATGTCTCATTCTAGTCCTATTCAGTATTCCAGTATTATGTAATTCAGTAGAATTCAGTATTCCAGTATTATGTAATTCAGTAGAACTCAGTATGCCAGTATTATGTAACTCAGTATCATTCAGTATTCCAGTATAATGTAACTCAGTGTGATCCAGTATTCCAGTATCATATAACTCAGCGTGATTCAGTATTTCACTATTATGTACTGTAGTATGGTTCTCAGTTCCTGATTTTAAATCCCTGAATGTTGAACACCTATATTTGGGCCTGAGGCCGCAGCTAATGCTTTATGCATCTTTGGGCCTGAGGCCGCAGTTTATGCTTTATGCATTTTGGACCTGAAGTCGCAGTTATGTATACGTATACTTGGGCCCGAGGCTGCAACTTGCACACACACACACACATATATTGGGCCTGAGGCCGCAGTTTAATATTCAGATAAATAGGTTGTTCATCATTTAGAAGAGGGAGTATTCATATCCTTACTTCCTTTATTCAGTTCAGTTATCAGTTATCAGTTCAGTTATCAGTTATCAGTTATCTTTTCAATTATCAGTTCAGTTATCAGTTATCAGNCTTGCTCTAGAAAGGGGAACTCTCAAAAACCTAACTCCTTAAGGGTCCTTCCACCACCCAAGGTAAGTTCTAATGGTGATTCTAAGTTAATTTCAATTTTCCAACATCTTATTAACATGGGTAAACCCTCCATATCATTAGATATTCGATTGGGACATCGTTGTTGAGAGAAGGAACCCTAGAACTCGAATTCAATGGGGATTGAACTTCGAAAAGGTAATGTCTTCACCCTGTAATTGATTCTAGTATTGGTTTAATGACTATAAACCCTAGTGCATGAGATATGAGTTGATGGGTTTGATAGAAAAGCATGAACGATTATAGGGTTGGGGTGTTGATTATTGATTAAAGATATCATTTATCTTATGGGTGATAAAGAAGGGTATTGAACATATCAATTTGATGCTTTAGAATTTATCTAGGAACAAGAGAATGGGTCATTGGGTGTAGAGACACCATTAATAAGGACTATGAAGCTTTATTTTCACCAAGTGTTTGATAAGATGCTTAAGTGACCAAAACATGAGAATCATTGCTAATATGGAATCCCTCTGACTTGTATTGATTTAGATTAAAGTTGAAAGGGTTGACAAACGTTGTATTATGCTCAAGAGCAGGAAGTTAAGGTATGTGAGGCTAACTCTCTATGTTTGGGAATGTTAATGATTCTCCCTACATTACGTTTCTTTTACGACGTTGCTAATTGCCTCAGAAATATAGTTAAGCCTAGTTCCTTGAATAGTTGCAGAACTTCTATTCTCTAGCTTCATAACTCGTTCATGACTTTCATTCTGAATGTTGTGAGCTCAGTGCTTATTCAATATAGACTTGGGTTTGATGCCCCCGAGTCTTAGTATAGATTGCTCAGTATGCCATAAACAGTTGAAGTTTCAATGTTCATAATCAGTTCAAGAATACATGTCTCATTCTAGTCCCATTCAGTATTCCAGTATTATGTAACTCAATGTGATGTGATCCAGTATTCCAATATTATGTAACTCAGTGTGATCCAATATTCCAGTATTATGTAACTCAGTGTGATCCAGTATTCCAGTATCATGTAACTCAGTGTGATTCAGTATTTCATTATCATGTACGGCAGTTTGATTCTCATTTCCTGAATGTTGAACACCTGTATTTGGGCCTGAGGCCGCAGTTTATGCTTTATGCATCTTTGGGCCTGAGGCCACAATTTATGCTTTATGTATTTTGGACCCGAGGTCGCAGTTATGTATACGTATACTTGGGCCCGACGCCGCAGCTTGTGCACATATATATATATATATATATATATATATATATATATATATATATATATATATATATATATATATATATATATTGGGCCTGAGGCCGCAGTTTAATATTCAGATAAACATGTTGTTCATCATTCAGAAGAGGGAGTATTAATATCCTTACTTCCTTTATTCAGTTCAGTTATCAGTTATCTTTTCAATTATCAGTTCAGTTATCAGTTATCAGTTATCTTTTCGGTTATCAGTTCAGTTATCAGTTATCAGTTATCTTTTCGGTTATCAGCTTAGTTTCAGTTCCAGCATTATAATTCTTTCTTTTAGTTGCTTTACATACCAGTACAATTCAAATGTACTGACGTCCCTTTTGCCTGGGGCCTGCATCTCACGATGCAGGTAATGATTTACAGGTTGAAGATTCAGAGCGCTAGGATTCTCGTACCAGCTGTTTGGTGATCCCCAGTTCTTTCGGGGCATTATCATTACTTTACAGTCTTTCAGTATTTACAGATAGTTAGTGCTTTCAGTACTTCAATAGAGGCTTTATAGACTAGAGTAACAGTTAGACAGAGTCTCAGGCTTTTCATGTTAAGCCATGTTGGCTACAAATATATTTCAGAATTGTATTAGTATTTGCGCACTTTGATTTATGTCATCCAGACTTTCAGTATATCAGCATGTGTTAGTTTATCTTCCGCATTCAGTATGTTATGATACCACATGTTGATTCAGCCAGCCAATTGGTTCGCTCGGTCACATGTAGTCAGGCACCGAGTGCCGTGTTACGTCCAGGCCCAGGTTCGGGGCGTGACACTATTATATCATCAAAGAATGACGAGAAGGAACTTACGAATGTTATATGTGAGTTAAGTGAATGAATCAGGTGCTGAATAAGTGTCTTTGTGTAGTTAAGGCTTCTTTATCTACTTGAGTTTGTCTGACTTCAAACTTCTGATATATATTTTATGTATCAGATATTGAAGTCCAACAAAATGGGACAGCATCCCCAGTATAGTAAAATAGAAAAAGGTTTATAAAGTGTAACCTTTATGTATGGGATCTTGAAATCCCATTGTGATGTACATTGTTTGAATCTGATGAACATCTCGATAAACCCTGTAGATACTTCATGTAGTTTGGATGGGGGTAAAATCTGAAAGGCTTGCTCCAGCTCCTCCGGCAGCACCGTGTATAGTTCCATTCAAGACGCCCTTATACAAGTGTTTCTCATTATTTGTACAAATATTCTGCAGTAAACATCATGGAGGGTTATCTTTGCAACAGTCAAATATATATATATATATAAAATTCAAATGAGCAAATAATCAAGAGCAATATTATCATGATAATATATTTTTTTTACAATCCGCGCATCACGCGAATACGTATACTAGTAATATAATATATATATATATATATATATATATATATATATATATATATATATATATATATATATATATATATATATAACAGAGACTTAATAGGTCTAACTAACACATAAATGAAAATTTTAAAAAGAAAAGTTTCACG